ACATATACCTATACTTAAGGAAAGAAATGTTTAAGAAAGAACCTTTTGAAAAAGAAGCAGTTTCGAGAATGATGAGAAGGAACCAAAGAGATTGGAACAAGAGAAAGAAAGAGAAAAGAAAGACACAGATCATTATAAAAAACGATAGATTAGTACTATATAAACTTACAGATAGCAACCTAAGCCTCGCCTAACCAAACCTAATACAGTTAGGTTCCCTTTTCGAATTTAAAGATTTTTATTTTTCTCTGTTTTTTTTTGTAAATAATGTTGATATTTTTTATGTTTTTATGAATGTATTTTATCAACTCAGAGTATATTGTTTCTGATTCAACTGCTCAGTTATTTCATAAACAAGGAGGGGTACTGTAATGGGCTAATATCTATCACAAAACCAACTTCTTGTATAGTATATTTTGTAAAAGATGAATATTACCGAAAGTTCTCGAAAATTCCTGAATATTCGCAACGATAAATTAACTCACTTGACCCGGATTGGCTTCGCAGAAAGTATAATCTACTCTTATGTGTATGTGTACACATACGTTTTCCGTGGTAAAGGATTCCGGATACCGGACAAATACACATTTTTGGCTATATGTATTTGATTACGAGAATTGTATGCTACGTAGAGGTAATTACGACCACAGTTAGCCTTACGAAAATAGGAGGCGATGCTATAGTAACTATTTATTAATTAATATTTTCAGTCAAGTAACGTAAGGAAAGGCTTTATTGAGTTTTGCAGAAACCTGTTTTGATGGTATTTTAACCATTATGAGGTTTCTAGCAGTTTCAATCAAGCTAAAATTAAAAACAATTGTTCTTAGAGGATGGTTTTAAAAATAGAGGGTAGATCCGACTACAATGAGATTTTCGGAAGTAGTCGGCAATCTTATTGTAACCATTTATTAATACCACAGATTTAAATATACTATAAATCTGTGTTAATACTTTCTGGCAAGCAAAATTTGGAAAAAAATTGTTGAAAGTGTTTTACGGATTGTTTTTATTACTTTGAGGGTAGTTACGACAGGAATGAGCGTTTGTTATTGTTTTTATGGCTT